GACGCAAGCGCGCTCGTCGTACGTAACGTACTGGGCCGTGCCGAAGTACTCCCTCCTGCAAACTACTCTTGCGCCGAAGATCCCGGAACAAGTCCTAGGTGTTAAGGTTAAAGTGCATGTGTGGGCTTCCGCTTCCTTATCCGTCCTCGCGAACCTTACTTTCTTAAAGAGCCCGTTACGCTGAAATGTGGAAAGAAGCGGGGAGGAAGAGAGGAGGGAAGGAGGGAGAAGGGTGAAGTCTTTGAACATGCGGGAATTTGTTTTGCTTAACTATACATATTTGTTATGAGGGTTTTGTTTTAATTTTATCTTTTTCACCACCACCACCTCCAGAGGAGGAGGTGGGAGGGAGGCAAAAGAAAAGTCTGTTAATTGAAAAAACAATTTTTTGAAATTTTAAGATCGTAATGGAAAGCCATAAATTCCTTAACCGCTAGTAATCAAATGAGATAGCACTTGTAAAGGACTTCGAAAACCTTAAAGCACTATTAAATGCTAGCCATTAATTATCATTAGCTATTATTAATTCACATTTCCAATAGCACTCTACAGTTTACAAAGCACTTTCCTCACAATAACACTGAGGTAATTAGCGCAAGGAACAATGATAATATCAATAATGACGTAAACTGCTTTGAAATTTAGTTTAGTTTTCATGAGCGAAACGGGTATTATTCCCATTTAAGAGATGAGGAAATTGAGGCTCAAGGACATTAAGTGATCTGAACTCACAATTTGCTGATTCAGCCTAGCTCTCTATCCACTATGTATTTCCTTTTTACTAATGAGGAAAATGAGACCCAAAGAGATTCAGTAACTTGTCAGTGACTAAAAGTTCCAGACTCAAAAAATGGATATGAGTTCTTCTGATTCAAACGCACTTTCCACTAGGAACCTTTTGGTCAGTTTTCCTTTATCTTCTAAAAGTGGGCATGTGCTGGCAGGGCTCAGGCCTTTCCTCCAAAGCTACACTTAGATCATGAGGGCCTAATCCTGGAGCCTGCTCAGATGTGTCCTTCCTGGTGGATTATACTGAAAATGCAAAATAGTCCCTGCTGCCAATCCAACTCGTGGAATTTCGTTTTCTGCCATGACGACTTAGGGTTAATACTAGATGATAATGAAAAGTCTTCTGGTTGGCTGAGGATCTGGAAGACTGATGACTTAGGAGAGGTCGAACCATAAATAGGTACTCATAGAAGATTCAGTTGGACAAATAACCTGTTCTTTTCACTAGCTTTGAGTGAGGAGGATTGCTTTGGGTTTCTGGGTTGGGGGAAGATACCTGCTTCTCCCCACCTGACAACACTTTGGTCACTTTTGTGTTTATCCTTTTCTAGGATTAGCCAATCAGGTATTCTGAGGGGGTGAAGAGAGACAGTGGTGAGACTGGAAGACCCACCATAGTTCTCAAAAAGGTCTAGTCAGCAACTGGAGCCGATAGAAGCCAAGTCAGTCAGTCAACAAATATTTATTATATGCCAGGTAACATGCTTCGCACTGGGGACACCAAAAGAAAAGACAGTCCCTGCCCTCAAGAAACTCACAATCTAATGGGAGAAGAACATCCTCCCATAGTAATATCCTCCCACAACAGTTGATCAGTCTACTTGGTCCAGCTATATGCTACAATTATTATCTCATTTAAAATTCACAAAAACTCTGAGAGGTAGGTGCCATTATTATCCCCATTTTACAGATGTGGAAACTGAGGCAAACAAGTTAAGGAGAAGAATACACTCCCTCAAGATTGGAAAAGAATAGTCTAAAGGATTTATAAAGGAATGACCTTCATTCTCTCACTTCTCTCATCTTCTCCAGTGCATATACACTATCTCACACTGTTTAGCATGTCTCTCATCACAAGAGATGATGTAAGTAAATATTTCCTATTGTTGTTATCTAATTGTTCCATGAATGTTAATCATGTCTTCTCAAAAAGGTTCCTCTTCATTATATGGTTAGCAAACTAGAACAAGTTGCAATCCAAATCTCTCCAAGGCACTTCAGTTACATATTATGATGCCCCTCCAGAAGCAGGCTCTCCAGACCTTTCCACCCAGAGGTTTTCATCATCTGAGCATGATGCTCACCAGTCCCCATATCTGACACCCAAAGATAAAGACAAAACAATTCCTCACTTCACAGTGGCTACATTCCACTGGGGGAGACAGGACATGTACACAACTGGATAAATACAAAGTGATTTCAGGAAGACTGCTCCAATAACTGGAGAATCAGGGAAGTCCCATACACAATGTGGCATCTTAGCATACTTGGAAGGAAGCTAGGAATTCTACAAGTCAGGCAAAAAAAGGTGGATCAAATTTCAGATGGGGTGCCTCTTGTGAGAAGGCACAGAGCAGGAAATGTGTGTGTGTGTGTGTATGGCACAGCTACCATTCAAATAAAGAATACTTGTACAATGCTGTTTATTTATTACTTATCATTTATATTGTTCTAGTGAGTATAAAAAATCAACTTGAGATTTTAACATGAAGTAAGAATGGTCTCAGTCATTGGGTAACAGTATAACATCTGGGATTTAACCCTGCAATATAGGAACAGAAAATTTTGTTCAAAAGAAATATATCTGATAAAAAATGATAGGGGGTGGTTGGACTCATGATGCTAAAGTGTTTTTTTTTCTTTTAATTTTTGTGATTCAATTATCCTAAGTATCATCAAGAATCTACCCAAAGACCTGAGCTTTTGGGGCAAGAACTCACCATTTGACAAAAATTGCTGAGAAAACTGGAAAGCAGTTTGGCAGATACTAGGCATAGATCAATATTCACACCATATGCCAACACAAGGTTAAAATGGGTACATGCTTTAGCTATAAAGTATGATATCATAAGCAAATTAGGGAAACATAGAAAATTTTGCCTGACATATCCATGGATAAGGAAAGAGTGTATGAACAGACAAGAGATAGAGAGGTTCACGAGAAGTATGATGGATGATTTTGATTACATGAAATTTTAAAAAAAATTTGCACAAACAAAACATTGTAGCCAAAATTAAAAGGAAAGCCGAAAACCAGGGGGAAATGTTACTGCAAATTTCTCTGACAAGACACCAAAGAAAACTGAAAATGGAGAAGAGAGAAAGTACCAGATGCGGGAGAATGGAGAAGTCCCAAACTAGTGCAGCCAGCCGAGGCAATGTCTGAACTGTTCTCTCCTTAAATGAAGGTTTAAAGTTCATGGCCCTATTTACCAATCAGAGAGGCAAAGGGTAGTGATGAGATGGAGTACCAACATTGAGATCTTACAGGATGATGAGGTTATCCCAATATCCCAAATTTAGTGTAGTGATACCTAAACAAGAAACCCCTCAATAGCAATACTGTACACGTTATTTATGGCTCAGGGTCTCTGGTTCTGAGTTTATACAAACCAGGTCCCATCTTGCAAGCAACTCCCAAAATACTATTTTCTGTTTCACATCACACCCTCCCAGAATTTACTACAGGATACCTCCAAATATAAGCTCAAATCTAAGTCTCTATGATGGGACACAAAAGGTCCCCAGCATCCATATAGATGTGAGGATGGTCCTCGAAAGCTCTGGACCTAACTAATGGCAAAAGGGCCCAACAATGATGTGTAAAGCTAACTGATAAAAATATCGAGCTAAGTGATCCTTTTGTGCACTGTGAAATGAATCAATAAGGAAACAATCAATTAATAAAAGTTTATTAAACCTCTACTACTTTGCCAAACAGTACTAAGCACTGAGGGTACAAAAATAAACAAAAGGCAGTCCCTGCCCTCAAGGAGCTTACAGTAATGGAAAACACAACAGGCAAAGAAATATGTACACACAAGTTCTATACAGAATATACAGGAAATAATTAACAGAGGGAAGGCACTGGAATTAAGTAGACGTAGGGGAACCTTGTAAAAAGTGGGATTTTGGTGGGGACTTAAAAGAAGCCAAAGAGGTCTATAAGTTAGGAGCGGTGGAAGAACCACAATAAAGTGAGGAATAATAGGGCACTCTTTCAAAGTCGGTTTGCTGAGTAAAAGGCAAGCATGGCTGAACCCGGGAGAGCTATAAAAGCTATGCTTAGACACTATCGGCCTGGTGCCAGGCGGAGGAGCCTGTGCTGCTGCTTCCGTCCACTGGGCAGAGAAGGGGGGCTCCCCTCCAGAGTAGCGGAGGCAGAGGAGCTTCGCCCGATCCCTGGTGCGGAACCTAGGGGAGGTGAGATTTAACTTCGCAAACGCAGGTTTTCTTTTCGTGGTGATGCCTTCTGCTTAAAACTGTGCCTTCATTCAGCCCATCGCCCAAAGCACTTGAAGCCCGACTTGCTCATTTCCGAACGATGGCAACAGAAAAGAAACCAGAGACCGAAGCCCCGAGAACACAACCTACACCTTCTTCATCAACCAATCAGAGCAAGCCTGCACCTTTAAACCCAAACTACACATTAAAATTTACATTGGTAGGGCATACTAAAGCTGTATCTTCGGTAAAATTTAGCCCTAATGGAGAATGGTTAGCAAGTGCTTCTGCTGATAAGCTCATTAAAATTTGGGGAGCATATGATGGAAAATGTGAGAAAACAATATCTGGGCACAAACTGGAAATCTCAGATGTCGCCTGGTCTTCAGATTCCAACCTTCTTGTGTCTGCCTCGGATGATAAAACTCTTAAAATTTGGGATGCGAGTTCGGGGCAATGTCTAAAAACCCTGAAGGGGCACAGTAATTACGTCTTTTGCTGTAGCTTCAATCCCCTATCCAACCTCGTCGTTTCCGGCTCTTTTGATGAAAGCATAAGGATATGGGATGTGAAAACAGGGAAGTGTCTCAAGACTTTACCTGCTCACTCTGACCCAGTTACAGCTGTGCATTTTAATAACGACGGATCTCTGATAGCGTCAAGTAGTTATGATGGCCTCTGCCGTATCTGGGATACTGCATCAGGTCAATGTTTAAAAACTCTTATTGGTGATGATAATCCTCTTGTATCTTTTGTGAAATTCTCTC